ACAATGCTATTAAAGCAAAAAATACTGCATAACGAAACCAATATACCAAATCAATTGAATTTGCGTTTATTTAATGGAAACTCAAACCATTATTATCATCACCATTATAAGATAGTCAGTCCTAAGATTAATTGAAACCACATACGGAAACTTAATTTTTGTAACAATTAGATAATATTCTATCGCTAAATACGTTTTAAAACCGAATATTTAATTGACTTTTAAATTTTGTATGTCGAATTTTAGGGTTTCCTTCCTATCCAAAATTAGGCAACTTTTATATTTTAGGTTATGTGACTGAAACAAAAAAAAATCGTAGACACTAAATTTTTGACGGGTTAAATTCAATGCGTTAGTGAATTAACTTTTTTTTTTATTACCACTACAGATAGCTTTAAATTAATGAGGAAAAGTTGTGGCTGCTGTCATTCCCCGCCAGATATCGAATTCGGGCATCTGGTTTTACGCACCAGTAGATAATCTACTACTAAGCACTGGTTCGATTCCCAGTGGGGAATGAGAGATAAAAAGATAATTTTTTCCTGATTAATTTGAGGTTATCTGTATACAGAAAACAATGACCCTCTGTATTTTACTATTGTACTAGTGTGTTGTAACCATCTCTTTAGGAAACGGATAGTTCTAAAAATGAGAAATCCTATATCGATACTTAATTATATATCGCCTTGTAATTAAATCCAAACGAGTAGTTATTAACTATTAACTGAAGACCTAAGGTATGACGTATATTTGGTACTGATGGGCATAACGATTCTTATTCGATAACGTTGCAAATTGGAACTTTGAATAAAAATAACGTTTTTAAAAAACGTTATTAAATAACGTTATTTTGAAACAAATCAAAACGGCTTTTTCGATTATTTTCAAATTATAATTAAGTTGGGGTAATAAAAACAACATAAAATTTAAAATAAAACACATTTTATAAATATATGATAGATTCATTTAAACATAAATGATTATCGATGGTCGATCCGTTCCGTTCATCTGTTCTGTTGTGTTGCAGCGCTTGCCACTTTACGTTCCTCAGTAACGAGTTATACGATAAATAGTAACGTTCCGTAACGTTGCAACAAAATAACGTTCCAAAATAACGTTAACGGAATAACGACCCATCACTA